GATACGTATCGGATTCAGGACCACATATCCAAGTGGCCTGTGTCGCATTTGAAAAAATCCGATCTGTGTCGTTCAGACTGTCTTAAAAAGATCTGATGCAGGTCACATATGGGCAAAAAAATCGGAATTGGGTCACTTCAGGCTGCAGTGTGAACGTAGCCTAAGTTCGGAATGGCACCCAGGCTACTTTTAATGTTATTCTGCTGTGAAATTTCAACTCAAATATTTTTTATAAAAAACACTAATGCTTCTAGGACAAAGTTTATGTATTTTTTTTTATCATTTATTAGTTTGTTCTTTATATATTATTCTATATATTATATTATTATATTATATATATATATTATCCACAGGTAAACCTACCAAAATGACTGCAAGAGCACATTAAGAAAAGGACACAACCCAGAGCAACTTCTACAGCACCAAAGCCTTTCAATCCCTGAAAGAGCAACTATTAAAGAATGGTCTAGTCAAAGTTTGTTTAAATTTAGTTGAGATGCTGGGATACGATGATAAAACATGAAAGAAAACTGTTTCTCCTTGGCAGCCACCAGTCAATATACTATTAGGATAAGAGTATTAAAATCTCTGATTGTAAAATTACACAGTAGTCTGAAGCATATCAGTGGAATGAAAAAACTTCGGCACATGACTGTTTCCGTTCTCTGCATTTATGCTGTTTATAGGGAGCAATTGAATGGGGTTTGATAAGAGTTGCCCTAAAACGAACTTGAGTAATTGTGCAGCTAAAACCTAAGAACATAACCGTCGTATCTAAGCTGGTGCTTCATTTCATGGTAATCCAAACATAGAGAAGACTGAGGCTCACAGGTCTTTGCTCGTTCAGCTCTCCATATGGTAGCTACAGCTGAACAGTGAAACTTGTCATCGTGCAATCTGGAAACTTGCAGGCATCAGCTTCTGCAGACCAACCAACGTGGGAAGATGTGTAAATAAATGGAAATATGTGCATAGAAAGTTATCAGAGAAGGGATCAGGTCACTAATAAAACCTTGTAGAGGGTCTTGGACTTGAATTAGTAACACTAACACTGCAGCCGTTTTTCAATGCATCCTCTCCCAGTATTGGACCGGTTCAAGTTAATAATTTAAAGTCTAAAAAAGGAGAAAATAAGGGGTACAGGTTTAAAAATACCTGAATTTTCCCTCTGTGCTTTCATGATATATAAGAATGGCAAACAGCACAGAGCAGAAGGTAAAAAAAAAAATAGTTAGAACTGTACATTTACAGTAATTTTTACTATTTTTCAAGGCTGCACTTTTAAAAGATGAAATTGTCCAGAGAGCTGTTTCCAAACGAAATTTCTTTTTGTTTTACATTGTAAATAAAATGACAAATAAAATCTGTCTAAGTCTTAATCTGCTATGAAGAATATGTTAGAGTGTAAGGATACTTTATGCATCTCTACACAAATTAGCACTTAATAGCACAAATGGCTGAATTAAGAGGCAAATAAATGATTTTTTTTTTACCCAATAAATAAAATCAAATAAAACAGAGCAAGAGGTGGAGAGGGCAAATATCTGATTATTGTTCAGTGCACATAAATATTAGCTGCAGTAATCAGGTATTAGACGGACGTCTCTGAGATTTCTCTGTAGTTCTGCTGCTTTTGGGTTCGACCGTCAGGAGACATGGTGACTCCTCTTCCTCCCTTCGCTATCGTCTGATATTCTCCTGATGGATTATTTATGATTATTGTTGCCTTAACCTTTTAAACTTAATCTTTCTTGCTTTCTTTATCTTTGTCTCTTTATGTGTGGCCCGTCTCACACGTACAGCTGTTGATACCTCTGCCATTTTGATTTGTCTGTTTGTATGATTTCAAAATAACAAACAAGCTATGGCTGGTTTTGCTGAAACGTTCAGAGAAGGTGTGTATTGTTACTTGGAAACTAATGATAACATTTCTTGTGACGATCTGGATCACCATCTGGATCCAGGAATTTTTTTTTTAAGATTCTGTGAATACGAGAATTAACTTAAAGGAATAGTACACCCAAAACATGATTAGCCTTCATTTTCTACTCACCCCCATGCTGAACAACACT